TAGAACAAAAGAAGGAATGGGAATTGCCTAAGTTAATGTCATACTATGATGCTTTTCAAATCAAATCCTTGATCCCATTGCTCAGGGGAAGAACAGAGGACCCTCCAGTCCAACTCGTGATGGTCCCTTCCACACTTTGTATAAGAGGCCACCCTTTCTTACCTTTGTCCTTGAAGGAGGTAAGGAAAATGGACAATCCATTTACAACATCAGAACTGATGGCATGGAGAATGTGGAGCAAACATTGGCCTCTCCTCCTCCACCACCATTCCTGTTCCTGGATCATCCAGCTTTCAAACACAGAGATAAATGTCAACAGTTCAAGGATTGGGAAGATGTAGGCATTTATACAATCCACATGACCTGCTTCCCAGAGAGAAAACAATTTCCCAAGAGGAACTGCAAGGTAAATTAAAAGGCATTCGTACTACCTGGTTTCAGGTAGCTCAGGCTCATTCTTTTGCACTTTGTTTGGAGCACAGAGGAGAGGGCCTATGCACATTTACCTTGTTTGAATCCTTATACAACAGGCCAGCATATGACCTGAAGGGTGCTCCTTCCCTTATATATAGAGCAATCTATTGCGGTTCCCAATTAGGGGTCCAGGGACCACTGGTGGTCTGCGGAATGCACACAGGGGGTCCGTGGCCCCATCCCTTGCCTCCCCACAACTTTTTTTGGTCATTTTTTGCATGGTAATAATACAGTTTTTTTGGTCTGTTTTAGCACCATGCAATTTTGCAAGATATTGGCCAAAATTGGTTTTGAAATCATGCCACAATAGCAATTTCGACCTGGCAATATGCAGCAACGCGAGGGAGAGCAGGGCAGCCGGATATTCCACTGTGATCTCAGCCAATAATACTGCTGATCTGAGCTGCCTTCCCTCATGCTGAGGGAAAACAGGGCAGCTGATTGCCCTCACTTCAAGGCACCATGCCATTACCTTCCCCTGGCACTTGTGGGATGTAAAACTGCAGTCAAGTACAACAGCCCTACAGTGGACATGTTAGGGGATGTTTTGTACCACTCAGGAGAAGACTTCCTGTTTCCTCCTGAGCTGGGACAGGCTTCCACTACATGTGACTTGAAGAGGGTGTGGTCTGTTGTACTAGCATGGAGGAGCACACGGCCTCCATGTTCTGATCAGTGTGTCTTCTCCATTTTGTATGTCGCTGTGTGTTTAGTTACAGTCACTTGTTGGGACTAACTTCTTTATGGCATAGTTCTAGTTGTTATGTAACCTAAGCCTGCCTTCAGGGATATGTCTGTGAACCTGAATGAATCTGTGAGTAAACTTTTACATTAACGTTAATCAGATTCTTGTGTTTATTCTTTTTAAGAGGGAGTAGAAGGGATTTTACCAGGAAGGACTCTTTAATAGTAAGACTCAGATGAGTCAGCAACAAGCTGATCGCTGCGTAATTTAAAAAGGGGGATGTTTGGAACTCTGCTAGAATATGGAACTTGCTAGCACAAGCTGGGAAGGATATCATTAAATAATATATCCTCTCCTGCCTCCCTAATCATCCCCACAGCACTGAGGCAGAGCAGCTTTTCTCAGTCAGCAGAAAAGCAGCAGCAGCCACAGTGGACGTGCATCTTCACTGGCTGCCACCTCTGGCTGCTCCACTGACAGCAGCTTGATGCATCCCCCATTCCCTTCCATTCAAACCATGGTGGTGGAGGTGACTCCGCTTCCTCTTCATCCTCTACACATCCAATCTCCGTGACTGACCCATCCCTCATCCCCATGCCTCATCTCCAATTGCAGACATTGTGATACAGTGGTACCTCGTCAAGGGTCTGGGATCCGTTTCGGAGCCCTGGACGCTCAACGAAAGAGATGCTTGACAGAGCGCCACTCTGCGCGTGGAGCGGTTTAGCGCTTCTGCACATGCGCAAAGCAGCAAACCCGGAAGTAACCCGTTCCGGTACTTCCAGATTTGCCGCGGACATCCGCCAAAATGGATGATCGAGGGGGCAGACATTCAAAGAGGTATGATTGTATATCAGAATATTGTGATGTTTAGCTGCTGAGTTATAATTGCAGCTGTGTAGCTGAGTCCAACAGACTGAAGCCCCACCCTGCACCACAGAGAATTAGCATTGATTGCAACATGATTACCGATACCTTAGCAGTTGAAGAACCAGACTGAAACAACTCAGAACATATGGAAAAATAATATCTGGGTGTCTCACAAGACACAGGGGGGCAATTAAAGGCATAAGAAAGAGACACCTTCCAAAAAACGTGGACCCCATTCTTTAATTATTTTAATGACCAAAATGGGTCAACTTTGCGAGCATGAAATAAAAGTGTTTCATTCACTGTAATATGTAATATTTTCACCGTCTGATGCTACTGACACACTTTATTTATATGAGAAGTGCAGAGTACAATACTTCTGCCTTCTCCTTAGAACAGAAAAACTTGTAGAGTGGAGGGAGCTATTTTCATTTGTTGATTTCTGTTCTGATGCAAATCACACCTGGAAGCACTCTATTGCTTAATCTATAATATCTGTTCTGACATCATATTTGCAAATTTTACAGAGGTGCTAAATATCATCTTTGCATCTGGTGTAACAAACAGGGACCTGTGATTCTTTCAGGATTTGTTTATTTTGATTAATGTCCCCACCCCAGTATTAGTAGTTTCAATCCATCCAAAAACATAGCTGTTTATCAAATGATAAGTTTATTGCATTTGTGAGTGGTTCTAATTAGTTGTATAACTAATAACTCTTTCCATTTTGCTGACTGACCTCTCTCTTGCATTTGCACCATGGCTTACTGGCTGAAGACTGAAGTGACTTCCTTGCAAAGCTGGGAGCCTGCCTGTGAGACAGATTCAAACTAACATAACCTTTAAATACTCATTTGGGAAAGTGAAATAAACCAAAATATAATTAAATGTGTTTCAACCAGTGGTCCATCAAACATGTATACAATAGATAAGATATGCAAAGAATATATTTCGCTCTATAGGATGCACCCGATCATAGGACGCACCTTGTTTTAGAGGGGGAGAACAAGAAAAATAAATCTCCCTCTCTCTGTGCAGTGCCCCTTCAGCGAAGCGGCAGGAGAAACGGAGCCCCTTCCATTTCTCCTCCCACTTCACTGAAGGGGTGCTGCCCAGCTCTCCCTCTCCCACATTGCCTTCGTCTTCATTGAAGGCAACCCGAAGCCTCCAGAGTGCGGCAGGAGTTCCCGCTGCGCTCCGGAGGCTTCGGGTTCCTTTTGCTGAAGCCAGGAGATCAGGACTCTCCCGCTGCTCCCCGAGCTTTTGGGGCTGGCGGTGGGGGGAACCCCGGCTTTCCCCCACCACCAGCAACCAAGAGCAGGTTGGGTTCCCCCCCGGGTCCCCCCCCAGCCCCAGGGACCACACATTCACTCCATAAGACGCACAGACATTTCCCCTTAGATTTTAAGAGGAAAAAAGTGCGTCTTATGGAGCGAAAAATACGGTACCTATTCAAAACAAAAATTATTAAAATGCTATTAAATAACCAATTTTTTTTAACTAAAACAGGCATTGGCCCTCCGTCTCCTTTTGCTATTCCCTCTACTTTATTTTAAATCTTCATTAAAAAAAAATATGCTTAAAACTGCTGACATATTGATAGACTGTGACCTTTTATTGTGCATGAAAATGGGGTCTACTATTCACTGTGTGAATACAGTGTGGGTAAACACTGAATACGGTGCGAATACTGTGTGAGTAAAAAGAGAGAAAAGCAAAGTGACTTTGCAATAGCTATTTTATTTAACATATAAGGTTAAAAACACATGAAGTATCCAAGCAGTGAGTCGTTTCAGAGGTTCTAGTGCTTTCCTGGTTTGATACCTTTGTAATGAAGTCAGTCGGAGCTTGCTGGTATTTTATTATTTAGAAAGATGGAGGCAGAAGACAGGTGTAAGCTAAGCATTAAACACCCTAGCGTGTCTCATAGCTCTTGGCTCCCCAATCAGACTTTCAGAGAGGCGGCCAGCACCATCAGCTCCTTTCAGAGAGCAGCTATCTGTCCACTCTCTGTCTCTCTCCCAGCCCCAGCCCATTTCAAAGAGTTGGGCTACATACACATTCACGGTTTAAAATGCAGCAAAGTTATTCCCGCCTCCCACTGCATTTCAAGCCGCATTTTTCTGTTGCAGCACATATCCCAAAGATGTGGGCACAGGGTGAAGCCCTCCCCCCAATCTTGAGGGGCCAGGCATCCCCAGGCATCCCCAGGGTGGCATTGAGCCTCATAGTGCCTCACGGTCTCCTCCTGACACATGTGATGTCACACACACATGCCAGAGGTTCCCGATGTCAGGCGGAACTCAGCATCTCTGCCAGCTGGGTGCAGATGCACTATTTATTCCCCTGGTGCAGACCCAAGCAATGCCTGCCCATGTGGCTGGACCCTTCCCTGGAGAGGCACTGTTTGTCAACCTCCCTGTGATGGGCCATTTTACAGGCAAGGTTGCGATCTGGAAATTCCTTTGGCATAATAATAGGTGTTCAGTTTTGACATAATAGTGAATCATTAAGCAAACAGAGTACATATAGTATCATAAAATGCAGACTTCAAGGGCATACGCAGCAGGAAGTTCTCCTGTGCAAAGCTTGCCAGTCTTGACCAGGAAAGCATCTGATAGACTGTCCTCAGTGTACATGTGCACATGCACACCAACAGAGAGACAGGCAGTACAGTGGTACCTTGGGTTAAGAACCTAATTCATTCTGGAGGTCTGTTCTTAACCTGAAACTGTTCTTAGCCTGAGGTACCACTTTAGCTAAATGGGCCTCATGCTGCCGCCGTGCGGCTTCTGTTCTCATCCTGAAGTAAAGTTCTTAATCCGAGGTACTATTTCTGGGTTAGCGGAGTCTGTAACCTGAAGCGTCTGTAACCTGAAGCATCTGTAACCCGAGGTACCACTGTATTGTTCTTCCAAATGAGGATGCCATTTCCATAAGGTCCTGGTAGCCTTTAAGATGGTGTCTTTATTCAGCATTGCAGTTGATGTAGCATCTTGATTGATTCCTGTTTCAGTTTAGGATTCACGAAGATCAAGATAACGGCATGGCCAGAGGAATATGCAGCAACCGCATTAAACAAATTTATTGTTACCCAGTCATCTTTAATGTCCATAAAGGACAGGACTATGCCCAAAAACTCCACACAAAAACTGGATACATAGAGAATGGAGAAAGAAGCCAGAGCTTTGATGGCATTCAGGTGAACGTCTGTGCTGAAATCCCTTGTGCTGTTTCGTAGAAGATTTTTGTGCCTCCACAGAGAAGTTAGCACTAAGACAGATGAGGACAAAAATACCACAAAGGAAAAGAAATCTGGAACAATATAAAGATGGATGAGATACTTACAGAAGTCAGGCATTACATTTCCCGAATTACTGTTATTGCTTAGATGTGATTCAAATAATCTACATTTAGATATGACAGTACTGCCTGTTATTGTGACAGTGGTGACAATTGCAGAGAAGACCACTGTCCCCAGAAGCAGCCAAGGCACCAGCCCAGGGAATCTCCGCTTCATTTGCAGGAAGAGAGGGTGGGAGAAGTTTGTAATTTTTACACAGTACAAAGCACTGAGCCAAGTGGCAAACCAAAGGTCAGCAGTATTAACAAACAGCCATGAGGCATCAAATGCAATAAATACGTCCCTCTTCTGAAAAGTGTCCTTGAAAAAGAGGAGAAAAATAGCCGTCTGTATCACAATGGCAAGAAATGCAAATCTGAACAAGCCAAGACAGCTCAGGATCATGTCGGCTGGGGATAGTTTTCGGCTTCTAAACCAGTCAAGGAAGTTAACTATAGCAATGAATCCATTTCCCACCATTCCTGTGAAGGTCACAAAAACGAGAAGGACAAAGCTGAACAATTCAAGTAAGGTAGACATCTCTGTAAGTACAAAATAACAGTGTTTTCCCGCACTGTAATATGTTAAATTTGCACCGTCTGTTACTGATGCTGCCCTTTATTTATTTGAGCAATGTAGAAACCTTCTGTGTAGATCGGGAAGCTGAAGAAGAAGAACAAGAAGAATTTCGATTTGATATCCCGCTTTATCACAAACCGAAGGAGTCTCAAAGCGGCTAACAATCTCCTTTCCCTTCCTCCTCCACAACAAACACTCTGTGAGGTGAGTGGGGCTGAGAGACTTCAGAGAAGTGTGACTGGCCCAAGGCCACCCAGCAGCTGTGTGTGGAGGAGCGGAGACGCGAACCAGATTACGAGACTACCGCTCTTAACCACTACACCACACTGGTAGAGGGTGAAGGGAGCTATTTTTATTTGTTGATTCTGTTCAGATGCAAATCACACCTGGAAGCATTCTTAGTAATTCAATATCATCTCTTCTGATATTTGCAAAATCCACAGTGGTGCTAAATATCATATTGGCATCTGGCTTAACAAAGAATGATATCATTCTTTGTTAAGCCTGTTGTAAACAAAAACTGCTCCCTTTCCCTTATGAGGTACAGTGGTACCTCTGGTTACGTACTTAATTCGTTCTGGAGGTCCGTTCTTAACCTGAAACTGTTCTTAACCTGAAGCACCACTTTAGCTAATTGGGCCTCCCGCTGCTGACGTGCCACCGCAGCACGATTTCTGTTCTCATCCTGAAGCAAAGTTCTTAACCCGAAGTAATATTTCTGGGTTAGCGGAGTCTGTAACCTGAAGCGTATGTAACCCAAGGTACCACTGTAAACAAGAGCCCTTATAGAGTCCTTTGTAGGTTCTCCATCGGTAGGAGAAAATAACAGAGGCCAACCAGGGAATATTGAGAAGCAAAGCAGCTAGTAAGCCTGATCTTGATTAAAGCTGTTGCAACAGGGTCTCCCCCCACACGCAGGACAGAGGAGGACACCAAACCATGAGCACAAGCCCTTATATAGACTTTTCAACTGCCCACCCTGGAGCCCAAGACCACCCCTCCATACATCATGCATACATCACAGAAGGGGTGTAGCGCAAGACCAACCCTCCAGTACATCAGAGAAGGGGTGGACTACAACAGAAATCTGAGTGCGTTTTTATCCTGTCTGCCAGGTTACCTGATTGGATTACCTGGGCATCCTGGCCACTCTTTTGTTATAATAACTACTCAAATCCTGAATCCAAGTCACAGGCTTACCCTATTCATGTCTTAACTGTGCTCTTGAGACAGGATTTGTGAGCAAAGAGACAATGGGGAGGTTCCCCATTTCCTTTGACCTTGCAGAGAAATATTTGAGGTCAATTTGGAAGAGACAAATGGTTTCAGGATTTTTTCTGTGGGTCTCAGACATGTGGTCTATACATTTATGTATGTGCTTGCTTGGTACATTTATGAACTATATATATATATATATATATATATATATATATAACCTTAAAATTCTTATAACAAGCCAGATGCCAGATGCCAATATGATATTTAGCATCCGAAGAAAACCGGGGTGTTCAAGTTGAAGATTCACCACACACAAAGGCTGGATTCCCCACTTTCAGCTCACTCTTTCCATTCTCATTTCCATGTTGCTTGCTCTCTTTGAGGCATATATTCCACAAGTGAATTGACCATTTAAGGAAAGGGTCATAGACATTAAGAAACGCCAACAATTTTACAGCTCTGATTATTCATACACCAGCCACCTCAAAATGTGTAAATAATTTGAAGAACGTTAATATGGCTATCTGATAGCAAAAGATGGTGGAAGTGGAACATTAACTGCTGGAATGATTGCTGTTCAGTTTCCACATAAATCATTAAGCAAACATAGTAAACACCAGTGGTTTTTTCTGGGGGGCACTCTAGGGCAAACAAAGGGGGTGTTGTGGGCCCATACACCCAGAACATTTTTTTGGTTGGTGCTCAGCACCCAAACTGTGGGGCCTTTGATGCAACTTCTGATGCTTTGTGGGGCCTCAAAAGTCAAATCAGAGGCCTCATAGGGCCTTGGAATCCATATCCGAGGCCTTGCAGGGCCTTGGAGATATTGTCCGGAGCTTCACGAGGCCTCCAATGTGACTTTTGGGAGAAACTGGAAGTTGTGTCCAAAATTTGCATCGAAGGCCTTGTGGGACCTCAGAGATCGTGTCTGAGGCCTCGCAAGGCCTCCGGTGTGGCTTCCGGTTTCCCCCAGAAGAAACTTTGGACACAACTTCCAGGGGTCTCAGGTGCCGCTGTGGCGCACATGACGTAATGTGACACCCTGGCGTCACATTGTAACATGAAATTATGATGTCATGTTGAATCACATGCGCCGCTGGGCACACATAATTTGGGGCATAAGAGGGGCTCAAGGGTACACGGTACTAGAACCTTTGCAACAGAGTATAAAAACAAATGCAGACTTCAAGGGCATACTTGGCAGAATGGCATATCCCACAGAATGACACAATGGGTCAGTGAGTCCAATCAGTGAGAGCATCTGGCTGTTAACCAGGAGGTTGGTGGTTCGACCCCACCCAGGGACAGCTGTGGACAAGATTCCTGTACTGCAACCAGTTGGACTTGATGCCTCTCAAGGTCACTTCCAACTCGACAATTCTAGGATGCTAGGATTCTATGTCTGCAAGGGCTTGGCAGTCTTATGCAGCAGATATTCTGCTAAACTGTGTCCTCAGCACATGCATGAACCTGCTCACCCACAGGCAAACAATATAGTTCTTGCAAAAGAGAAGGCAGAATTGGTAGCGAACAGAGAGATAGGCAGCATTGTTCTTGCAAATGGGGATGCCACTTCCATAACGTCTTGGTAGCCTTTAAAATAGTGGCTTCATCGAGCATTTTAGTTGACGTAGCATCTTGACTGATTCCTGTTTCAGTTTGGGATTAATGACGATCAGGATAATGGCATGGCCAGAGGAATATGCAACAACCACATTAGTAAGCAAAAGTTCCATCCCAATGCCTTGCATGCCATTCCAAGAGAAGAACACTGACATTCTTTCCACAAAAAAGCTAGATACATAGAGAATGGAGAAAGAAGCCAGAGCATTGATGGCATTCAGGTGAACTTCTGTGCTGACATCCCTTGTACTGTTTTGTAGAAGATTTTTGTGCCTCCACAGAGAAGTCAGTAGGAAGATGGATGAGAACAAAAATATCATGAAGGGAAGGAAATCTGGAACAACATATAGAAGGATGGAATGCTTACAAAAGTCAGATGTCTTCATTCCTGAGTCAGTGTTATTGCTTAGAAGTGATTCAAATGTCTTGCATTCAGACATGAGTCTATTGCCCATTATTACCTTGATGGTGGTGATGATTGCAGAGAAGACCACTGTCCCCAGAAGCAGCCAAGGCACCAGCCCAGGGAATCTCCGCTTCATTTGCAGGAAGAGAGGGTGGGAGAAGTTAGCAATTTTTACACAGTACAAAACACTGAGCAAAGCGGCAAACCAAAGGTTAGCAGTATTAACAAATAGCCACAAGGCACTGTATGCAAGATGTACGTTCTTCATCTGAAAAATATCTCTGAAAAAAAGGAGAAGAATTGCATTCTGTATCCCAATTGCATGAAATGCAAATCTGAACAAGCTAAGACAACTCAGGATCATGTCGGCTGGGGATAGTTTTCTGCTGCTAAACCAGTCAATGAAGTTAATGATAGCAATGAATCCATTTCCCACCATTCCTGTGAGGGTTTCAATAACCAGAAGAATGAAGCCAAACAATTCTAATAAGGTAGACATACTTCTGAGTCCAAAGTGTTTCTTCCAGTGTAATATTAGCACAGTCTGGTGCTTATGCTGCCTTGTATATGAGCAGTGGAGAGCAGAATACGTCTGCCTTCTTTCAAGACCAGAACTATTTGCAGGGAGAGGAGCAAGCTATTCTTAGTGGTCGATTTTACTCAGATGCAAATCACACCTGGAAATATTCTCTTCCTAAATCTATATCATATTATCTGCTGTCATATTTGCAAATTCGACAGTGGTGCTAAATATCCTCTTTGCATCTGGCTTAACAAACAATGATAGATGATTCTTTTACCATTTCTGTATTTTGATTAATGTTCACCAGTATTTAACATCTCAAGATTGTCCTTCCCAACACTGGATTCAGAGGCATCCAAAGCACCACCCACATGTGTAACAGCTCCAGCCAGCCAGCCAGCATGGCAGCTGCCCTTCCGTCCCCACCTGGAGTTCTCCCCACTTCCTGATTCTTCTTCCCAGAAACCCCTGCTCTCAAAACCTCTCTTGTAAGACCCCTCTTCCTGTGGTGACATCATGCACCGATCTTACCCTGGCAACCTCCCTCTGTGTCTGGCTGAGCCTTCTGTCTGGTTGATGCCTTCCCTTGAGGGGCTAATGGCTGACCATCAGCTACATTGTTTCTTCAATGTCCCACCATCATCAGGATGGCCCCATGAGAATGTTAGCTGGTGTTATTCCTTGCTTAGTCCAGGAATACATGAACACTGACTGTGCTGGTCCCGTGGGTTACCCGAGAGGCGAGCTCCAAATCCGGTCCATGGTCAAAGGTGCAACGTGGAGGCAGTCCGTAGTAGCTGAAGCTGGGTGCAGGGCAGGGTGTCAGGTGAAGTCAGGAACAGGCTTGCAAGCAGGGAGCCAGGGCAGGTCAGGAGCTCAGGAAGGAAAGCAGGACAGGGTTCAGGCAGGAACTAGCAACCCACAATGTGGCTCCAGCAGCTTGGGACTGGGGCTGGCCGGCTTTTATCTGCCCTGAGGCATAGGATGGCCCCAATCCTCTGGTGCCTCGCCTCTCCTGGCCTGGAGGCGAGCACTCCTCCTGCGAGAACTTAGTTCCCTCCGCCTCTCTGCCCTAAGCCTCTGCAGCTCAGGAGAGGCTGGAGGGTTACCGGACCCAGAGGCAACCTCAGCTTCCCCTGACGGGGCTGAGAGTGGAGCACCTGCAGGCAATGGGTCCTCCATCACCTCAGGAGCCAGAGCAGACTCAGCTGGTGCCTGCACCTGAGGATCCAGCACAGGCGAGGACCCTTCAGGCTCAGGCCCCAGCCCCGGCTCAGCTGGTTCTGGAGGCGGGGAATCCAGTGCAGGCTAGGATCCCTCAAGTTCAGCATCCGAGTCCGAATCCCAGCCCATCACACCGACCCTTCACTGAATGTAGAGATTATGAGGAGCCCCACCCCCATTTATAACATTATTTAAAATCTTCATTTTTTAACAAAGAATTTCCTTAAAACTACCAACCTAACTTCAAGGGCATACCCAGCAGAATGGCCTACCCTGCAGAATGACACAACGGGTCAAGGGAGCAATGGGTGAGTGCATCTGGCTGTTAGCCAGAAGGCTGGTGGTTCGAACCCACCCAGGGACAGCTGTGGCCAAGATGAGCTTCGGGGTCCCTTCCAACTCTACAATTCTAGGATTCTAGGATATCTGAGTTTGACTAAACTGCGGGAGGCAGTGGAAGACAGAAGTGCCTGGCGAGCTCTGGTCCATGGGGTCACGAAGAGTCGGACACGACTAAACGACTAAACAAGAACAACAACAAAATGCTACATTTTAGTTGCATTGTATTCAAGAATGTAGGCAGTATTTTCCCAGATGGCTGGTGTTTGTCCACTCAAGGCTTCTTGTACGTCTGGATCACGAGTTATATCACAAGGCAGTGGTGAGAGAAGCTATATGTCTTTGCTAGCGTTTATATATACAGATGAAGCTGCTTGCATTACACAGACACACATAGAATGGCGCGTGGTGGTTAGTCATTGAGTGTTGGCTGGTATGCGGCAAGAGGAAGAGGGAGAAATAATATTTTGATTTTATTTTTAGTTGGAAAGCTACTTTTTATTAAAAGAGGTTTAAAGGCTCACACTGGCACCAGAGTGAGGCAGTTTGTGAGACAGAAACCAATGTCTTTTGTAATGTAAACATTTAAAACTAAGTCCTGCAAGTAAAGCCTTATTATTACTTGTGTTAAATAAGTTTGATTAATATTTTTTAACACTTGTAATTGGCTCTTCAATTGTTAATACCAAGGCATCGGCAAAGGCTTTCACTTTATATTCATTTCAACCGACTGAAATTCTTTTTATTAACTCATTCTTCCTTATTGATCTTAAGAAGACTTCCAGTACCGATATGAATAATAATGGTGATAAAGGACACCCTTCTCTTGTGCCTTTGGTAATTTCAATGTTTTCTATTACTATATTATTCACAATCAATTTTGCTCTCTGTTCCGAATATATCACTTTTATTCCATTTAGGAAGAATTGACCCGTATCCATTAATTCCAATTTTTTTAGCAAAAATTCCCAGGATGAGGAGCAAGCTATTTTCAATTGTTTATTGCGTTCAAATACAAATCATATCTGGAAAGATTGTATTATTAAACTGATATCATAAGATATACAAAAATATATAAAATATACAAGATACACACATATATGAAAGATATACAATGAATACACCCGTTCAAAACCATCCAAATAATTAAAAAAAAGAAAAGTGATTACAACATTATTAAACAACTAAAATGTTAAAGCAGGCATTGGTCATCCACCTCATTTTGCTATTCCTTTAATTTTATTGTTATGGGCCACCCCAATCTCTGCTGAGCTGTAGCAAGAGATTTCAAGGGTCTTGGAACTTAACCAGAGTTTGTGTTTTCGTGGGGGTGGGGGAAGGGCACAGGGGAGACAGCAGTGTCTTATAAATATGGTTTATTCACACATGTTTACACCTGAAGTCTTCAATGGAGGTGGAGTTCATAGCATTAACATCTCAAGAAGGCCATGTCCTTCCCAGCATTGGATTCAGAGGCATCCAAAGCACCACCCACATGTGTAACAACCTGCTCCAGCCAGCCAACATGGCAGCTACCCTTCAGTCCCCACCTGGAGTTCTCCTCACTTCCTGATTCTTCTTCCCAGAAACTCCTGCTCTCAAAACCTCTATTGTAAGACAACCACCGCTCTCCCTCTGGTTATCCTGGCAACCTCCCTCTGTGCCTGGCTGAGCCTTCTGTCTGGTTGATGCCTTCCCTTGAGGGGCTAATGGCTGACCATCAGCTGCATTGTTTCTTCAATGTCCCACCATCACCAGGCTGGCCCGATGAGAACGATAGCCGGTGTTATTCCTTGCTTAGTCCAGGAGTCCATGAACACTGACCCTTCACTGAATGTAGAGATTATGAGGAGGGCCTGCCCCACTTATAACATTATCTTAAATCTTCATTTTTAATAAAGAATTTCCTTAAAACTAGTAGAATTTCCTTAAAACTACCAACCTAACTTCAAGGGCATACACAGCAGAATGACACAACGGGTCAAGGGAGCAATGGGTGAGTGCATCTGGCTGTTAGCCAGAAGGCTGGTGGTTCGAACCCACCCAGGGACAGCTGTGGCCAAGACGAGCTTCGGGGTCCCTTCCAACTTGACAATTCTAGGATTCTAGGATTCTATGTCTGCAAGGGCTTGGCAGTCTTATGCAGCAGAACTTCTGCTAAACTGTCCTCAGCACATGCATGCACCTGCACACCCACAGGCAGACAATATAGGTCTTGCAAAAGAGAAGGCTGAATTGGTAGCGAACAGAGAGATACGCAGCATTGTTCTGAGGATGTCACTTCCATAAGGTCTTGGTAGCCTTTGAGATGGTGGCGTCATTCAGCATTTTAGTTGATGTAGCATCTTGACTGATTCCTGTTTCAGTTTGGGATTAAGGAAGATCAGGATAATGGCATGGGCAGAGGAATATGCAGCAGTAACATCAGTAAACCAAATATTCATCCCAATGCCTGACATGCCCATCCAAGAGAAGTACAACTGCAATATATCCCCAAAAAAGCTAGATATGTAGAGAATGGAGAAAGAAGCTAGAGCTTTGATGGCATTCAGGTGAACTTCTGTGCTTACATCCCTTGCACTGTTTTGTAGAAGATTTTTGTGCCTCCACAGAGAAGTTAGTAGTAAAATTGATGAGAACAAAAATATCAGGAAGGGAAAGAACTCTGGAACAACAAATAGAAGCGTGGAATACTTACAAAAGTTAAATGTCTTCATTCCTGAGTCAGTGTTATTGCTTAGAAGTGATTCAATTCTCTTGCATTCAGACATGAGTCTAATGGTCATTATTACCTTGATGGTGGTGATGATTGCAGAGAAGGCCACTGTCCCCAGAAGCAGCCAAGGCACCAGCCCAGGGAATCTCTGCTTCATTTGCAGGAAGAGAGGGTGGGAGAAAGTGGCAATCTTTACACAATACAAAACACTGAGCCAAGTGGCAAACCAAAGGTTAGCAGTATTAACAAATAGCCATGAGGCAGTGTATGCAATATGTACGTTCTTCAGAAAAGTATCTATGAAAAAGAGGAGAAAAATTGCATTCTGTATCGCGAATGCATGAAACGCAAATCTGCAGAAGCTAAGACAACTCAGGATCATGTCGGCTGGGGACAGTTTTCTGCTTCTCTGCCAGTCAATGAAGTTAACGATAGCAATAAATCCATTTCCCATCATTCCTATGAGGGTTTCAATAACCAGAAGAATGAAGCCGAACAATTCAAATAAGGTAGACATCCTTCTGAGCCCGAAGTAAAAGTGTTTCTTCCAGTGTAATATTAGCACAGTCTGCTGCTTATGCTGCCTTGTATATGAACAGTAGAGAGCAGAATACTTCTGCCTTCTTTCAAGACCAGAACAATTTGCAGGGAGAGGAGCGAGCTATTTTCAGTTGTTCATTTTACTCAGATGCAAATCACACCTGGAAAGATTCTCTTCCTAAATCTATATCATATTATCTGCTGTCATATTTGCAAATTCGACAGTGGTGCTAAATATCCTCTTTGCATCTGGCTTAACAAAGAATGATAGATGATTCTTTTATGATTTCTATATTTTGATTAAAGTTTGTTCACCAAACTTTAATGTTAACATCTCAAGATTGTCCTCCTCAACATTCGATTCAGAGGCACCACCCACATGTGTAGCGGCCTGCTCCAACCAACCAGTTGCCCCTCAGTCCCCACCGGGAGTTCTCCATCACTTCCTCATTCTTCTTTCCTGAAACCCTTGCTCTCAAAACCTCTCTTGGAAGACAACAACCGCTCTCCCTGTGGTTATCCTGGCAACCTCCTTTGTGCCTGGCAGAGCTTTCTGTCTGGTTGATGCCTTCCCTTGAAGGGCTAATGGCTGACCATCAGCTGCACTGTTTCTTCAATGCCCCACCATCACCAGGCTGGCCCCATGAGAAAGTTAGCTGGTGTTATTCCCAGCCCTTGCTTAGTCCAGGAATCCACAAACACTGACCCTTCATTGAATGTAGATATTTTGAGGAGTTTCTCCTGCCCACCCGATTCATAACATTGTTTTCAATTACTTAAAACTACCAACAGATTGATATATTGTGACTTTAATTGCACATGAAAAATGAGGTCATTGTATGCTCCCCACTTTCCTCACTCTGAGAGCCCCGTGGATTCAGATCTGTTTGGGTAAATAAGGAAAGAAAAGCACTAGGGATTTACAATTGCTATTTGATTTGGAAATATGCTGTTAAAAACACACAAAATATCCAAGCATGAGACATTTCAGAGATTCTGATGTTTTCTTGGTTCAGTTCCTTTGGAATGAAGTTAGTGGGGCTTGCTGGTATTTTCTGATTTAGAAGCATACAGGTAGAAGACAGGTGAAAGCTAATCTTTAAACATTCTGACATGTCTCATATCTCTTGGCTCCCCCACCAGATTTCCAGAGACAAAGCCAGCACCACCAGCTCCTTTCAGAGATCCACTCTGTGCTCTCCTATTACTGGTAGAACATCACACAAAAAGGCTGGATCCTCCACTTTTAGCTCACTCTGTCCTTTCCCATTTCAATGCAGCTTGCTCTCTCTCAGGCACATATTTCACAGGTGAACTGACCGTTCAAGGAAATAGACACAACCATTAAGAAACACCAACATCTTCACAGCTCTGTTGTCTCAAACAGCCACCAAGTCACAATTCTGTGTAAAGAGTAGGTTAATATGGATATATGAAAGCAAAACACAGAAATGGGAAGGAAATTCCTTTGACCGAATAATTGCTGTTCCATTAAGCAAACAGAGTGAATGTGGTATCAAAAAACCCCAGAAAAGGGCACAAGCAGCAGAAAATTCTCCTGTGCAAACCTCTATACAATGGCTTGGCAGTCTTGTGCAGAGGAACATCTGCTAGACTGTCCTCAGTGCATGTGTGTTACACGCAGACAGGCAGGAAGCAATCTTCTTGCAAAAGAAGAAGCCACTTCTATACAGTCTTGGTAGAATTTGAGATGGTGGCTTCAATTAGCATTTTAGTTGATGTAGCATCTTGACTGATTCTTGTTTCAGTTTGGGATTAATAAAGAGCAGGATAACTGCATGGCCAGAGGAATATGCAAGAATCACATTTAAAAGGAAAAAAAGATTCCCAATGCCTTTCATGCCCATCGCAAACAAAACTATCAACAACAGTTCGACAAAAAAGCTAGCTACGTAGAGAATGCAGAAAGAAGCCAGAGCTTTGATGGCATTCCAGTGAGCTTCGGTGCTGACATCCTTTGCACTGTTCTGTAGTAACTTTTTGTGCTGCCACAGAGAAGTGAGTAGTAAGATGGATGAGGACAAAAATATCATGAAGGGAAGGAAATTCGGAACAACATATAGAAGGAGAAGATACTTACAGGAGTTGAAAATTTCATTTTCCAAGTCACTATTATTGGTCAGAAGTGATTCAAAAGAATTACATTTAGAAACATTGGCTTTGGATGTACCTGTCCCAATGGTGCTGATTGCAGAGAAGACCACTGTTCCTAGCAGCAGCCAAGGCACCAGCCCAGGGAATCTCCGCTTCATTTGGAGGAAGAGAGGGTGGGAGAAGTTAGCGATTTTTACACAGTACAAGACACTGAGCCAAGTGCCAAGCCAAAGATCAGCTGTATTGATAAATAACCATGAGGTGTAATATGCCACTTTTAGGTGCTTGAATTGATCAGTCTTCATGAAAAAGAGAATAGAAATTGCATACTGTATGACAACTGCATGAAATAGAAATCTGAAGAAGCCAAGACAGCTCAGGATCATGTCAGCTGGGGATAGTTTTCTGCTTCTAAACCAGTCAATGCCGTTAACGATAACAATAAATCCATTTCCCACCATTCCTATGAGGGTTTCAATAACAAGAAGAACAAAGTTGAACAATTGAAATACGGTAGGCATCTTTCTGAGCATGAAATGAACGTATTTCCTCCACAATAATGTGCAATATCTGCAGGGTCTACTCCTGCCTTCTCCCTAGAACAGAAAAACCTGTAGAGAGAGGAGGGAAATATTTTCATTTGTTGATTCTGTTCAGATGCAAATTACACCCGGTAGGTCTCAAATGCTGAATCTGTAATATGTCTTATGATAATATATTTGCAAATTCTACAGAGGTGCTAAATATCATCTTTGCATCTGGTTTGACAAACAAGGATATGTGATTCTTTTATGATATGTTTATTTTTATTGATATTTTCCCACCTGTATCAACATTTCCAATCCACCCAGAAACATACTTTTTCCTTCAAAGGTTCAGGAAGTTTACTTGGTTTCTATGTGAAGTTGTTCTAATTGGTTGAATAATTGAAGCAGGGATTTATATTTGTCAGGCCAATGGAGGAATGTTTACAATTACACTCCCTGGTAAATAGGAATTGGTGGAATTGGTGCAAGCAAGAGCCTGCACTGTCTCACGAATAGCCAAAAACCACATGAAACAGTGAGTTAAAAAGCAGTCCAGAGTATTTTCTTTTCTGCGCAGAAAGGACCAGCAGGGATATTCCCCCAAATTAGCTGGCCATGTGCCAATAGATTCCCTACCATTTTATAAACTTAATGGAATGTATGGAAATTGACAATGCACATTTCCATACATTCCATTAAGTTTAAATTTCCAATCCAATAAAAACACTTAGTTTTCTTCACCCCATTTCCCTTTAAGGCACTTTAAGCATATTCCATGCTGTCTCCCTATGATTGTTCCAAATTACAAACAGTATGAGCATGTGTACTAAATCGTGTCCTCCCTAAAAGAGGGCATGTGTTGCAGTGAGACCTGGAGACTGACCTCCTGGTTGTGGGTGGTTATATTGGACAGCTGCAACACCCGGTTGGTAGGTCCCTTGTTGCTGGGTTTAATCTGGCCAATGGGGTGCAATCTAAACGGATCGAGGGACCTATATATAGCTATGCACGTGACCCAGAGCATCCTCTTTTGGCTCATGCATTGGAAAAGCAAACAGCATGTCCTGTGTCCAGCCGAGAGATTCACCTGCGACGATCATCTTTTGGTGATATCTTTCTTGTTATCCCCTCCCTCCCCCCGTTTGTTTAATTGTTTAGTTTTGTTTCTCCATGATTTAAGTTGATCCCTTCTCCTTTCCCTTCTCTTTTCCTCTGGAGGGGCTTTCGCCCCGCTGGGCATTGAGCCCCTGAGTGCTCCTCGCTAAGGGAGCTTGCCGCTTCTTGTTTATTTGCTGCCCACGGGGCTCAATTTCACAGTCACTTCATTTTTAGTTTAATTTTAGTTGTGGCTGCAACTTTGGGGCTTATAGCCTTAGTGCAGCCTTTGGAATTTGGGATTGTCGCTGCCTTGGGTGGCTGCGTCCAGCTGATCGCATTGCTTTCCAAGCTTGAGAGTTCCCTCTCCTGTAAAGCAGTGATTTCTGTCTAATCAGTTTGCATAGGCTGGCTGGGATTTTCTAAGGGTGGGAATCCCCCCCCCCCGCTGTTGGCCTAGTCACCATTTTGGGTTCCCTTCTGCATTAGGAGAGGTCCAGTGCCATCGTGTTTTGGCAGAAGCGCCATTTTGTTTTGGTGGGAGTGCCAATTTTTATAGGGGAGTAAAAACCCCCAAGCTGGTGAGGAAGGGATGGAGATGTCTGTTAAACAGAATCCCAGTCCTGCTCTCCCTTCTAAGAGGGTAATTAGGGGTCCATTGCAATCCCCATGTTCAGTGCCAGCCTCCGCAGTCCCCCAGCATACGCTGGATCACTTGTGGACAATTGTTGCTAATAGCAAGGTTGCTAATTGCTGCCATAGCAAGGTTCAATAATGAACTCGAGATGCTGGTGCAACAATTTTGGGGGCAGCCTGAGTTGCAGTCTGGCCCTTCCACGTCATCCACTTATTTTGAAGCTCATGGTCCTGCAGACGTGAGCGAGGCGAGTGAGGGTTATGACCCTTCGGGGGCCTAGCTTTCTCAGTTCCAGGATTCCAATACCACCTAGTCCTAGGGGTCGTCCTAGGAATTTGGGTGCTATGGTACAGCAGACCTTTTGCTCCGGGCTGCCTTGTTTGCAGTCAGCACCCGTGGGGCCTGGGAACACAGGGCCTCAATTGGCACCACATGTGGGAGGTGGAGTCCTTGCCCAGCCAAGCACCTCACATGTTTTTAGTTCTGCGCAGGTTGAGCCGGCTCCTTTGAGGGAGGTGCTCAGTGTCTAGTCTTCAGAGGAGGATCTCCCGGTGCCTAAAGTCCCTTAATCTGGTGGCAAACGACAGTGGAGTCGTCGCTCCA